TAGAATAGAATATGGGATGCTGGGATTACGAATCCGGATCGGCTCACAGGTTTGCCATTGTCAACGATGACAATAGAAGTGAGATTGCATTATCTGGAACTAGTAAGCGTGTATCGTGTCGCAATGCTCCGGGGAGAAAATTGTTAGGATGACTATCACTGGCATTAGGGATTTACGTTTGTTACATATAATGTTAATAAAAAACAAGATATTTATTGTTTTTACTATGTATTATATGTAACGCGTAAGTATATTTTTTTATATGATTTTGGACTTCTTCTGACTATGACATGTTATATGACTTATGTTAAACTAGTTATTTCCTGCGGTTCCATCTAAACGGAACTCGTTATCTCACATTTCCGTGAGAATCCTTCTTTATAAATATTTAAGAATTACGAAAAAATCCCTGCTCATATTCATGCTTCTTTACCTAGTGTTATCTATATGTTGATCAGTTGAGTTTTCCTTTTATTGCATTTGCTATCTTATCTTCTTAAATGGAAATACGACGCAGGCATACCGCCAATATGTAAGACGGCAGTTATGTAGATATATCTATCGAGAGAAGTCGCACGAAACTATAGATGCTTACACCGTCTGCGTAGGATCATTTTGGTATGTCTATTGTATCAGTAAGCAACTGTATTAAAATCTCTCTAACTGTATGAATATATTTTATCGAATATGTAATTTGTTTTGTGTATTTGAATTAATTTCATTTACAGCGAAACCGGTATCGACTTAGTTTGATCTATGCCCTTGCACGCATGCGATCGACATTATGATTATTTACGTTTTTGCTTCGTGTGGCAGAAGAAACCTTCATATATCCTGTAGATACCAGTTAAACAAGGAAATAAATAGTTCCATTAAATCCATCGTCAAGTCCTTTGGTCACACACTCTTCATATATCCTATAGATAAAACAAGGAAATAAATAGTTATACTAAATCCATCGTTTGGTCACACACTCTTGACAGACTTTCCTTGAATATTCATTTTCCGACGTTACTATACTGTAGTATAAGAAATTGTACTAACATTTTATACTTTACTGAAATGCTGTACCACTTAACCAATAAGAGAGATTTACTAGGTTAAAATTACTTGTACCCAGTCGTAATTGTGGTTGGAGTAATCTGAGTGAATAGTAAAATTATACCTCGTTAACTAATATCATTGTCTTTGTGGTTTTTATTCTTGTTCTGTAAGTATATTATTATTTGATTGTGCATTTAATGCTAATATTTGTTATTACCTTAAATTGCAATGTTTTAATATTGTTTAGTAGTTATATCAATACATTGATTGCAAATACCTATTATATTGCAATCAGTGTATTACAATTTAATTGGTATTACATTTTTTATATTATTTTAATATATCAGTGATCGAGCTTCATTGGCCGTGTTCGAAACTTGTATATAAAACAAGGATTATATTTTTTATATGTAATTAAAATAGTAATTTTTTCAAAGAAAAGGATTGCTTGATATTAGACATTGATGTATCGAATATAGAATATATACATTATATTATTTTTTCTATTTTAATTTAATTTCTGCAGTCTAATAAAGTTTATCAATCTTGAAAACTTTGCATTTTATTATTATAGGTATGACTAAATTATCAAAATTCAGTGTGTAAAACTTGTTGCACAAACGCGTTAAAATTTGCTTCAAACTATAAGCCTTTGAAAATTTTGTTTGACGTATATATATATGAATACTAAGGTTGGGTTATATTGAAGGGTAATTGAACTGCCTTGCGTACATATCTGTGGATGTGCGCACATCCAACAAATATGTAGAGCCAACATTTGAGTATTACGTAAGCGATCGGCCTCTCATGGTGACATCTCGAAGTAGTTCATGTCAAACATGAGGATACTACATTAATCAGAGTACAGCACGTATGCAGTGACAGTTGGACAGCCCCAAGATCACCTGCGTCAAAACAAAACCTCTATTATGCAGCCTTTGTTTTTGTCGAGAAGCCTCATTTGCTGTCTCAAAGGCGTCTTATTGTTCAAATGTCCATTACAGTGTTTCGACACCCGTCAACGTCTGTTGCGACAAGCTTCAAAAGGATTTTCAAACGATTTTGCTCTGACCTTGTGTGTTTGACCGTAATATTCTCACAAACGTCAAATTGATAAATGTAATAATTATTGAAGCATTTGATGGATGGATGAGACGGAAGTGAAGTCTTTATATTTTATATACTATGCGTTGATATTACGTAAAATATTTTTTTAGTGATGATAGTTTTTTAATTAATTATAATTTTACACAGAATCATCAAGCAATTTTTGAATAGGTAGTTGCAAAAACATTTAAGTACTTATTATACTCTATGGGGACTATTTGCTGTAGATTATTTTTTATACGCTTAATACTTATTAGGAGTAATTCTACGACGGAAATCTTATAACATTGAGCGAAAGTAATAACGGTACCATTGCTCAACCCCCCAAACCTCATTTTATTCTTCCACCAAGTTGTGTGGCATCAGTATGCACGTGAAGGTGGCAATTAAATACATAATCCATCGGCGATCACACTGGTCCCGTGGTGAGTTAATGGCTTGTTTACTCACTTGCTAACCCTATATGGCGTGAAAGCTCCACATTGTCACTAGCCCTCCATCCACTGAGTATGGTCAACCGGATATGTGCTGGCGCTTGGCGCATGTTTTGATACCGTGAGATTAAAAAAAAAATCACTACGGCCGAATGATGAACAACGGGTTTTCACTATGCAGTACAGTTTTTGTTTATTTATAACTAGCTTGTCTTTGCTCTTTCCTATGTCTCGATCAAATGAGAAAATAATTAATATACCATTTAAAGGAACGTAACCTTTAGCGTAATTTTTAAAATTGATTCAGTAATATTTAGAGATTACAATATGTACAAGTTACTCCAGGTAACTTGCAAATGCAATTTTTAGGCATAAAATATATACATAACTTCAACGTGTTTGAGTTCTTTTAAGAAAGTGAATATTAATTAAAGTCTTACTATACATTGAATGGTGTCTATTATACAAAGTAATATGTGTATAATTTTGTGTATATAGAAAGTAAAGCTAAGTTCTATAACAAAGACAGAAGGATAAATTTCCAATTTTTATTTTTAGGTATAATATTGGAATTACCAAATACTGACTGAAACTGATGATGATAGGTGAAAATGTACATAATTTCCTTAAAAAGTCATCTAAAAAGTAACTATCGTATAAATAAATTACTAACAAGAAAATACTTTTTGTACGGTGATAATTGTAGGATCTATTACAACTGCTTATTTCTATTATTATTGTTATAATATCTTTAACCAAACTTCACACAAGGTTATTTTTTGCTAATTAACTTGATTGACTAATACTTGGTATATATTATAAACCTGTTCATTGATTGAAAATAGCGTGACTCAGTTCTGCAAATAATTAGGTCATTCAGAAAATTCACCGGATATGAAACTTTTATTTCAAATAATAAAACTGAGATCAGTATGTGGCTATGACATTAAAAATCAAGACACTATATATGCCTATCAAGAACAGATGGTCGCTTCGTAACGTGGTACGGATAAAAATTGTGAGTCATAATGTTTTATCTGGATAAGGAAGAATAAATGACTCGATTTGCGTAACGCCTCCTCATTCAAAGAGAAATTTTCAAAGTAAAGCACCTGGCCAATTTAAAACTACATTAGTTGTAGAGCTAATTTTCAAATAAATAAGTTTAAAAATTGTATCCATACGCATTATACGAATTTTAACTCAGCTTTAGTTCCGCAAGAATCTACAACTGTAGTAGCTTTAGATTCACCAAATGATAAGTTTTAAATAACAAGTTCGTATTCGTTTCGGATAATCTTTTCAATTTCTCATTCATCATTCATTCATTCATAATTTAAGAGCTGTGCTCTTGTCGGTGGAGCTCCCGCCACCTTCCACGATCTTCTATCAGTCCCTTTAAATGTTGATACGACACGACTCCAAAAAAAAAATTTCTCAATTAATTTTGATATTTTTTGTAACATAAAGTCTTTCGATCAAAATTTTTGCCAATCATCAATGTACGTATTTTCTTGGAAGAACACTATTTTTCCTGTTTTTTGATATTAGTAACTATTCGTAAGGATATGCTTAAATTAAAATCTACGTTATCTTCATATTCATTCTATATTTCTGTGTATTACTATGTGTGTATTATTACTTGAGAGTTAATTCTACCTCGTATATCAGTGTGTACATGCAGTTGACTAGTTTGGTATTCTATTTAAAAATATAATATCTGTTCACATTTTAAACTATTTATTGACTTTGACATAGAGTTAAACATCAATCATGTATATATCTAAGTAGTTTTATTGCATCAGCATGATCGAAGAGTGGATGACAGTGCGTCATATTATTTATTAGAGGTGCAGCTTTAAATCAATCTGCAATGACTGTCATATGATGTCATAATTGTTGTCGTTAGTCACATTATTTCTCAGATGAAGTTAATCTACCTTGTTTCCCATAATTTGTAGTTTCAAGACTTAGGCAAAGATATCTATAGGAATCCTACAAAAACTTCATTAATAGACGAGAAGCTTACAGTCCTTTTTGTAATAATAGTGTTTAAAAATTATTATGGTATTGTTATCTTTATGATTAAACTAAGTAACATGCATGCGTACCAAATTTATTTTAAATATATTCAGCCTGATTGACTAATAAACATATTAATTAATATTATTAATAAACATACATCCGAATGAGCGGTAGATTAAAAAAAATGATAACTATGACTATTCAAAGGTGCTTAAATTAAGTTTATTTGAATAAATGGTGATGATTATCCCAGCGTTTACATCTATCTATCTCATTTGGAAGTGATGAGCGATATTTCAATTCGTCTTTTATATATAAATGACCTAATTATTTGTTTCTTAGAATTGTTGCAGTAGCAGTAGTAAAATCTATTCTTTTCTTTTTTTACAGAAATAGCAAAAGTACGAGCCAGTTTATTCCAAATAAATGGTGTCAAGAAAGAACCTCTTGTATTACCAGAAGCAGACGGCATGGTCACAACACTAACAGAAAAAGTATATGTGCCAGTAAAAGAACATCCAGACGTAAGTATTATTTATATTTTTATGATTCTGCAAATTGTTTATAATTAGAAAAAGACATTTGCGTAAGGTGGTTTGTAATTATCAAATGTACACGATCATAGGACATAGTTAATTTAAGTTTAAAATAACACATGATGGTATCAATTTTCTTTTGTAATTTAAATTTATAAACAAATTGGAATCCAATTTGTATATATTATACAATCTTCTAGTATATTTAATAATGCAGTTATCCCTAAATACTGTGTAAATATGGTTTTACTATTGCTATTGATTCTAGATTGTAGGTATATAATTATTATTAGATGCGAGTATAAATCTAAGTCAATGCAAAAACAGTGATCGATATTTCTATTAGGTGACCGATATTACTCACTCTAACTCCCGCTACTCGATCATGTACATTTTAGTGAAAGTCCAATTAAAACCATGTCATTTTCGATTTAATGGTCTAATAGAAAGCATCGAATTCACATAAGATAAAATTTATAGTTTTCTGTATTTTTACATTATTGTACGATTTTGGTGATACGCGATTATATTATTTTCTAAACAGGTTTTACAATGTATAGTTCATAACGTAACAGCTAGAGAACTGAAACAGTTATATTTCATTATTTAAATTATTAAGTTATATATTTGTTTCTTTTCGTTAGATTCCGGAGGTTGAATGTGAACACTGGTTATTAAAATAAGTGTAGGGCCAATACTAATTCAAATAGGTGCAGTTATTAAAAAAGTCGGCGTATTACATACATACCAATTTTATTATGGAATAAATTCTTAAATTATATCCATAGTGAATGGCAGAAAAAAAGATAATTTCTATTTATTTATTCATCAATATATTTGTTCTCGTGATCTGTATATTATTATTCGGTAACCCGACCGTTTTTTAAATAGACATAGATGCACCGAAAAAACTCTTTCTATTTTTACTTACTCGTTTTCTTTCGTAAATCACGTTAGAATTTGAAATTTACCTTCATTTTTTTAAAGAAATGTCCCGATATATTTGGTTTTAAAAACATTATTGATTCTACACGTAATTTAGAATTATAAATTAGTTTCTACTTAATTTGTTATTCAGATTGTGATTGTTTAACTCTTAAGACTAGCGGTGAAACAATTTCTTTTGTCAATAATATTATAATAAGCAAACGTAAGCATTTACTTAGAACATACCTTAGGAATGTCTGTACGTCATTCATGTTACGAAATTCAGTAATTAGTAAACATACATATATTTGCATTTTGAATTTTATTAAACAAATTCATTTCTTGAAGTAATAGTTTACAAATATTCAATTATGTGTTTAGAGATTATTAAAATGTATTTATTTTAATTTTTTTAAGTAATGCATAGGTTAAGAACAATATCTACAGAGACCTTAGAGATATCTATAACATTTCAAAATACTATTAATTTATCGGTTAAGGCATCAGATTGATCAACTATAGTTATCATAAAAATAGTTCACTAAGTAAACAAATGAGTAATTTTATTGCGTTTTCGATCGAGATAAATAAAGCATTGTACAGGTAGGTAGCATTATTACAACAGGGAACGTTGGACGACGTTAGTCATACACATAGAGACACAAGGTTGGCAGCCTGCTACATTTGGAAACTTATGTCAGGGCTAACCTACCTTCGGATACGCTCAAACGACTGGTTAGAGATCGCACGGCCCTCAGTGATGGTTTCCATTCATTACTGTATGTCATCCAGCCTCATTTGCAAACGAACACGTTTTTACAGCACCATTTAAGGAATACAGTTCATTGGCCCGAATGATTCATTTATTAATATTGGGTAACGCTGTGCCGTATTCTCCATGTTCTATCAATGCGTGGCTGATGAAAATATTGTCCGTAAGTCGTACCGGTTAATACATTTGGCATCGTATCATAAATCTGCTGTGTTACTTTATTTAGATAATAGGCGCAATCTCTGTGAAGCAATCTGTTTTTTATGCTGACTTTATTTGGAAAGAGTCAATGACCGAATGATATTTTTAAGATTCTGATACATTGAACGAGACCAGTCTGTAATGTGAAACAGTAATTAATCATTATAGCGTCACTTTGTCAGTAGTGTCAACTCTATGTCTTCCACACAATGATGTATAGATCCTATCCCTAGCGTTGTCTAATAATTTTGTTACCTTTAAAGACCTAAATTATTTGTAGTATTAGCTGTTTTTTTATATTACTGCTTACTTTTTTATACCGTAAGTTTATATTGAAAATAGAAGTGTGATTTATTAGTTATTGTACATATACATACATTTGGGATTTAATCATAAATTGGAATAATTATTAGTTTTAATTTTTATGAATTATCTAATATTATTTCCATTTCTTAATAGGTATAGATTTGCCTGATCTTAAGAGTATCGAACATATTTTATTATATATCTATAGTAAATAACTTTACTATATCATTTTTCATAAGTATATAGGTAGGTATCATATATAGATATTAATTAAATTTACATAAATATTTAATAACTATCAAAGTATAAATCTCGATTAGATTATCAATCTGGATAATTGTAAGGAATCTAACAATACGAACGTAAATCTTAAGATAAATTGATCTTAGAATGATATTGATTGCCGATCAAAGAAGCCGTTCCGATTCATCAGCTACGTAGGTTGAAATCCTATAGCATTCACTGTGGATGTCATTTCATTAAGTTCTCAAGAGACTAGAAGTTGGTTTGTATTTTATATAATTTGCATACTTACACAATAATTAAAGCGTGACTGGTTTCTTACTCGTGCGTGATGTACTCGATTATTATAGTATCTTAGCAATTTTAGTTCTAATCTAATAAGAGGTGACAAGTATGAATAGTGATCTCATTTTACGCAAAAATGTTTGAACTTTGAATAATAGCAACTGATTTAATAATTTAATATAATCTTTTAGCATTCGAAAGATACATAACAATGTAACAGTAGGAACGCGTATTAATATTATTTATGGGCTCTTATTTTATAATCTGAGATGGGCCGCTAATAATCGATAATATGTACAATTCAGAAAATACTATAACTGGTTTGCATATTACTACATTAGTGAAATACTAGCAATTAAGCAATACGTTTGTAATTTCATAACTCATAACCCACAGTACTGTAATACAAAACCACGGAAAATTTGTTCGCTGTGTTTTAAAAGCTAAAGATCAAAGTAGTGGATCTAGAATAGAATTTTATACAATTCAAATTACAGATCGAATCCGGGACCAATACGCAAAGAAACATGTGTATTAATTATAACAAAATATAACTATGACGCATATAGCAATTTAATCTTTTAGGAAAAGGCATTTATATATAGAGTTTTATTCGCTCACAAAAACCATGCTAAAGTAAACGGCAACTATTCCAGAAATATACGTAACGATATGTGTTTCGTATGTCGAACATATTGTGAAACAACGGTTCCAGAGAGCTGTTCTCTGTGACTAATATCTGAAAATGTTTTAGTTTTGCGACTGTTATTGTAGCTTTTATGACTTCAACGAATTCATCTTTTGTTTTTATGATTATGCGCAGTTACAAGAGTGAAATGTGTTCGCCTATTATACTCGTTTTATTTCCTATAACCTTCACTGAATTAGACTAATAAAGTAATATTAATTAGACTGAATTGAGATGAAAAGTATCCGAGTGTTAATCTAGATTCTGTGATCGATGTGTGTACCAAATTTCATTCGATTCCGTCCATTATTAAAATTTAACAAACGTCCATCCAGCCCCAGAAACTTCCGTGTTTATGCTATTGGTTAGATTTGGTGGTTTGGTGAAAGTTTTGAAAAATATTCTATAATACCTACACGAAATAAATTTTGCCAATTCAAATATATTTTTATTTGAAATGAATGCCTAATTTATTCATATAATTAACATTAAATCAGTGATTTATATTATACACAACTGTTTCAAGATGCCGTGTTTAGATAGGTTTTAAGCGAGTTTTATTACATTTCTTCCTTGAATCAACGATTGGCATCTGAATACTTGTCTTCCGAGTTATATGCTGACAAATACGGAACATACCTGCATCCGCATTAACTGGATATGAAAAAGGTACTCAGTAAATAGTGTAATCATTGCACGGGGAGGGATTTTTGAGACGATAATGTTCATGATGGTTGCTAGAGGGAAACTCAAGCTAATAGAGTACTTTACATTAACAGTATTTATTACTAACAATCGCCTCTCTTCCTCACTTCTTTATAACTTCACAGTCCTTATAATAAATGTTTTTGTTTTTAATACTAATGTACCATAGGTGGATCAAAGTAATCTGAAATCATGTTTCTATAATCATTTTATTCAGCATAAATTCTTTTACTAGTGAGAAATCTCAACTCCATTTATAAATTATAATGTTTTGTATACTCGTCCTGTTTCGTATTATGCTCGTTATGATTGTATTTCATAGTTCATTTAGAATTTTGTTTGGATCTCGCTTGCGATGTACTTGTTCTTCCCATTTTAGCGAAGCGGCTAATAATAGTAATGAGTTGATGGAAATAATGTATGAAATGTAAAGTGTATTTGTGCAATACAGACAGCTGATGCACTTATAGGCGTAGAGAAATCCACTAAATCATTCATATAAATCTATACTTAGATGAGTACATCTTAAGTAAGACTTAGTGGATTTTCTAATAAAACATACTTCTTGCATTATTAATAGCTACACATTATATTTAAAGATCTTGTATAATTAGTTGCCTTATAAGTAAGCTTTGTTAGCATTAATAATTAATATAATTTATTGGATGTACAGATTGTGAGCGTGTCTAATCAATTAAATTCAGTTGAACGGAATAATTAGTTTATATTCTATAATGGCTATGGAATATCTAATAGTGCTATTTCTCTGTGGTACTCTGATTTATAGTTGATTGTCCTTAAAGTACTTAAATGATTTTTATATACATAACTTCTAACTGTTGTTGGTAATCTAAAAGTAAA